TTTTTTTTTGTTTCTGTGATGTCCTACCGGTTGTCCGAGGCTCGGCCATAAAGTCCGAGGCTCAGGAATCATCGGGCTACCGGTAGTCCGAGCTTCGGACTCTATAGCTGAGCGAGGTACTGGTGGTTTAATCAATTGCTTTTTGACAACCCTCAGATTCTGCAACAGAATGGCGAGGTTTTCTCAGTTGCTCCATCTTCAAGAAACTTTGGTAAGACTTGGTGTATAAAGGGTGTGCTTCGCCTCAGTGACCTGCGGAATGAGACTGGAATTGCTGGCTCTAAGTGGACTCACTTCGAGCGAAATTGCCTAGGGCCCACAATATCAGCGATAACTTTGAAGCTCTGAAGCAAGCAATGCATGCATCCTGGCTCCTGTGTCTCCAACCAAACAGACATCCGGCAAAGCATACATGATTTTCTTCCCCCTTTTGTTCATCCGAATTCTGGCGTGTGATTGGCCCCCCTTCACAGGGGAGCACGAAGGTACAAGTTTGGAAGCGCAGTCGGAACGCTAAGACAGAGGACCTCCTCAGCTTTATAGGTGAAGAAGTGGTGACTCTAGATGATGATCTACAAGAAGTGAGGGTTTGGATTACTGCGGGCCCGAGCGTAAGGAAACTTGCTCCACTTGGTGTCCAGCTTCATCCTTCAAAATGGACCCGTATAATTGGGGTTGGTCGGATTTAAAAATAATAATAATAATAATAATAATAATAATAATAATAATAATAATAATAATAAATCGAGGTTTTTTTTAATTTTAAACAATTCGCGGGCATTTGGGCCTCGCTCCACTGTTCACCACATCCACAAAAGACAAAAAAAAAAACATGGCGGTGTATTTTTTTTTCTGTTTTTTTGGGGGAAAGCGGTGTATTATCCCATGTGCTAGAGGAAGATTCATTCTCATTTTGCACATTTGGTGAGCAGCGGAGCGAGGCCGTTTGCCCTTCAGAAAGTTTTCGCTTCGAAATCTCGCCAAGGCCAGCGACCGACGTGGCGTCAGCCCCGTAGCGCAGTTGGTAAAGGCACACTAAGTGCCATTTAGAAGGTCATGGGTTCGATTCCCATCTTCCTGGGCATCTTTGGTGTCGGCCATCTAAAGATAGCCCGTTGCCCCCCCCCCCCAACCCCCCCAACCCCCCCAACCCCCCACCCCACCATCGATCTGCGGACACTGTTGATGTTCGTAGTGGGAGGGAAGAGGAAGGGAGGCAAAAGGTTTGAGACTTGACCGAAGGGTGTGACAGGCTGTTTGTCACTGTCACACACTGTGAAGGTCTCTCTTGACTGAATGTGGACGTCTATCCTGACCGTATGCATCCAGGGAATCGTACCGTTTTCTCTAAGAGTCCGTTGTGAGTATGTGCCTCATGACCTCTAAAGTTCGTGACATCCAAGTTCTGAGAGGCCTGCACCACAGGAGACATGACAGTTTTTTTTAGCTGAAAAAGATCGGGGAAAATTTGTGATCAGAACATGACTGCTGTCCAAATGTATATGAACAGGATTGACGATTTGGTGCATGCTTCGCATATAGACAGGTACAGAGCAGGGTCGGACAAGGGTTGGAATGTAATTTCTCACTTGCCGGCAAAAACACCAGCCCTGGAAAATACCCGCAGAACGATCAGCTGGGTCGAGGTCCCACTAGCAAAGAGGATCGGATCGAATGCCTAAATCGGGACGTATTTTATGCAGAGATGCAAAAATGCAGTTCAATCTCGATTTCCTGCACATCTCCACGACCTCGTCCAGATCCAAGCATTCGATCCGATCCTCTTTCCTAGTGGGACCACGCCCCTGGGGAAGCAAGGGACTGTATTTTTTTTTTTTTTTCAAGCCCCGCTTCAGATTCGAGCCTCACCACATTCCCTTCGATTCGAGTATTTTCAATTGTATTAGTCCTCTGCAAATTGAGTAGAACTGCCCTACCTCAAATAACCGAGGCTGGCTAGACCCCGACCATAGAGGTATGATGACTATGCTCGACACGAGGTTAGGTAGCCATTCCTCTCCTCGTGATAAACGATAGCCGCCTACCCTGCAAGCAACATTATAATAAAACCTCAACACCTTCCTCTGTTTTAATGATAGTGTAGTCTCCCTTCCTTAGACCACATAGGATCCAGAAGACAACATCCCACTATGGACCAGGAGCATAGCTCCGACGCGGGCTTCACTACCACCTATAGAGCTCACAAATCCATCAGAAAGTTGTCATGACATGATAACGCCTTCAAATCTTACTTCAAAAATATTTAAGAACAACAATACAACTTACAACAAATGCTTTCACATGAAATTTCATAATGATCCAAACTAAATAATCTTCAGCAATAGTTCAGATGCACTCTTATCATAGACATGCATCACAAAAAATAGACAATCCCAAAATGAATAGAAGTCCGGATAAACCGATCGATCAAAATGTACACCATTCCAACATCTGTTTACGCAAAAATTATAACTGACGGTCCAACTTCTCATATCCGGATATGAGAAGGTACTTGTCTCTCATGAGAAGGTACTTGTCTGTTTACGCAAAAATTATAACTGACGGTCCAACTTCTCATATCCGAGCTTTGTGCTCGGGCGAGGAGGACACAAACTTTCAAGCGAGATAGCTCGGATATGAGAAGGTACTTGTCTCTCATGAATCACGCTTCGCGTCATCTCTTAACTGTTTAAAAGAATAGAGGTTGAACCACAAACTTTCAAGCGAGATAGCCCTCAAGGAGGGTGTTCCCACAAATGAGTTTTCACGTGGTCTCAATATCGCAGACAGTCCCTATGCAGTCTCAATTGCACCTTGAGCACCAAGGATACTCCCCAACCAGCCACAAGTCCATGCCGCCTCTCACCACGACGTCTGCATTAGATAGTTCCCAAATGTGGGAAACACACGTCACACACGCTCAAAATCTTGACCCTCAACTTGGTCTCACTTGGTCCCGGGTTACCGCCGCAGCACGGGATGGCCTCAAACACCAATACCTCTCGGACCGTATTCCGCAAAAAAAAAATAAAGGTGACTCTGGGAGAAACTGCATGTACCACGTGCCGCCGTGTGCACTCACTCTGCATTTTTCTTGCCGCCGGTCCACGCACCACCACCGCACGATCCCAACGATGTACCACTGTTAGCCCATACTACCGCGGGATCGTGAGAAAATAGTCCACCTTCACCGTGCACATCAAAAATTAAAAGTGGAACAACTTCTCGCCGCGCCGTCGAAACTGGTACCATGCCGCCGTGCCAAGAGAAAAATTCTGCTGCAGTTTCCCACCAAAGTGTCGCTGCCGTGCCAAAATTTTGGCAGCGTAAGCTCATAAAAAAATCACCGTTGTTGTGCCCCTAAACGGACAGCACCTCCCCTTAGGAAGACCTTGATGTCGCCACGCCGTCAATCAAGTAGCACCTCACCACCGAAGTGCCGCTGCCGATGTGCCAAAAAAAATTGGCAGCACTTCCCCACCGAAAGTGCCATTGCCGCCGCCTTACGGCTGCAACACATGCTCACACACATAGCGCATATATAAGGGTGGGGCAAAAAAGTTCCCCGCCCTCAACTATGGTTGCCTCCCTTCTCCTCCTCCAACTCTGTGCAGACCTCCACTCCTCCAACAGCATCTCCTTTCCAGCGGAATGCAGCAACCAGCCAATATTCACTCCAGTGAATGTCCCAGCAGCAATGCCACAAGTGTGAGGCTACTAGGTGAAGTGTTGGCTTTTATAGCCAGCCGAAGGCATGTGGGCAGCTGCTTTGCCCACAGCCAGACAAAATTCATGGGTGCTCCCGACCCTCGATCTAAATCGATGGCCAGAAGCTCAGTGCGTTGGTTCTCCCCTAGGTGAACCAAGGTCATCAGTTTTTAGGAGTACCTGGCCATTTCCCCAGGCTAGGTGCTCATGAAACAACTGTATTCAGTCATTTCGGAGTTACCTGTTCAACTGAACAGATGCAGTCCCATCAGCCCCTAGAACCATCTAGGGGCTGCACCTGTTCCACAGTCGTGGCCACGTTCGTGGCTACTACCTTTTTTTTCTCCGCCCTTCCTTACTTTTTTTTTTTTTTTTTTCCCTTTTACCTCCCGATTTTCCTTCTGAGAGCCAGCCCGTTGCTTAGCAGCGAATGGGCGGGGTCATTTCACAGAGTCAAGCTAGAGTCAAGCTCAACTCAACAGGGTCATCATTCCCTGCTGCCCCAACGCGCGTCCGCACCCGCCCGTCAACAGCGCCAAGTTCGGGCGCGTCACTGAAAGCTGCAGCCTGTTTCCACGAACGAACAGGCGCAACTCCTTAGGGGAGGGGCAAGGATTTACAAAGAAAATCTAAAGCAAAATTTAAAAAAAAATAAAAATAAAAAATCTAATAACAAAAAGAAAGAAAACATAAGAAAAACTTACCTAGGGCTGCCCGTGAAAACGGGCGCCCTCAGCTACCTTTTGAGGACTTATAGTCCCTTGTCAAAACATCATGCGCCAGATGGTTAGTCGCTTCACTCCTCAATGAAAAAGGGGGGGGGGGGGGGGGGGGGGGTGTGGCGATGTATAATTCCATGTCCTAGCCGAAGATTCATTCGATTTTGCTCATCCTACAGCAGCAACCCGTTCATCAAAACGAACGGGTGCCTAGTAAAATCGAATAAGAAAAAAAAAATCTGATATCTAAAAAATCTAAAAAATATCTAGAATAAATTTAAGAAGAAAATCTAAAAATTTTAGAAAAGGAAAGAAAGAAAAATAAAAAAATGAAACACTTACCTCAGCAGAAAACGGTTGTCTGTCTCATGGCGTTGTCACGTTCGTTGGGGACTGAAGCGCCCCAGACACTTCGTTGCGTGCAATGCGATGCTTTATTTATTTATTTATTATTATTATTATTATTATTACTATTTTTACCGTTGGCTTTGCCAACGGTCACGTCGCATCGTGGTATACCCACAAACTCTTGAAATACAGACCTGAGTTCGAGTCCCGATGGACTCAAAGTTTTCACGATTTATACGTGTCATCCTTGAAAGCACACGGGTCATACTGATCTGCGCGCGATAGATCTCAGCCCCGCGATCTTGATGATCGTGAGGCCGAAATCAACTGCGCCCACTGCTTGGGCTGCTGGCCCAATAGGATGCGTGCAGTCGGGTTTGATCCCGGTATCTGCTGGGTGAAAGTCGGGCATCATAACCTACTAGGCTAGGGAGCAACTCTTCTATATGAAGAGCTTGCCCAATTACTTCTTCCCATGCTGTGGCCTTGCAGACCCTGCCTGCCTGCGGCTCTGCAGCACTTGCGTGTCTGAAGCCTAATAGGCTTACTGACAGACCCTGCCCTGTCGGTTGGCCGCGTGACCTCTGCATCGGCCTATCAACCCCCTGGCTTGATGTCAACCTCCACGACCCAGGAAATAAAAACCCTTCTTCCTATTCCCCTTGCGTCGCGACCCTATACCCGGCGCACCCCTCTTTTTAGCCTACTAAGGTCCTGAATCGCG